AAAATCAATTTTTAGTCTTCCGCATTTTATTATATATTTATATTATATAAGGTTATATAATTTTTATGAAATAATTTGGTGAAGCGGCAAATAAAGGATCCTATATTAAGTTAAAAATCGGTGCCGGTAACCTTTCGTTTAGTTTTTAGATCAAACTGAGGTTAATAAATATTTTAAAATCTTTCGCAAACATTTTAATTAAGATTTTTTTTATCATCAAATTTATATTACTATTAATATGGATATAATGTAGATCAAAATAGAAATTACGCGTTTGACATATTTGACAGACACGTGGAAAGTAGATATTCACACACGGGTGGAAAGTAGATTATTATCAACACGCGTGTGATATAGGGCACTATCCGTAAGACTAAATAGGGCGATATGTGTAGGAAAAATAGTTTATTTATTTAAAACAGTTTATTTATAATCTATTTACACTAAGTACTACTATTTATTTACATTTATATTTATATAAGTGCTTATATACGCAGAAGGATGATCTCTTCTCGTAGCACTTACTGGAAGTGTTCCGCTCTGCAATGACTCCCGAAGGAACCATGACCGATGTAGAGGCCGAGTACTTAAAAAGAAATCTATTTTTATTGTGAGTTTAAGTGACTTCTCCTTGTTAGGACAACATTATAAGTCAATTTGGGTGATTTAGCTAGAACGATAGTGGTATAGTGATGAGTTTTTGTGTAATTTTAATTAAGTATGTCTTCCCTGAAAAACCATTTTGAAAAAACAGGGTTGTCCTTGTCTGTATGTGTGTCATGGGGGTGTCATGGGGTAGTTTAAGGATAAGATTAACCAAATTTTGAGACTTCGCGGCTTCAACACCGCACGAAACAAGAATCTCGACGAGTCTCAGTTCCTGCCCTGTGTGATGACGTCACCGAGCAGTGTAACTAGTCGACGATGAAATTTGACTCGAAGTTTAATGTATCGATACGCTTTAATATCGTAAGCACCAGTATCGATACTCAAAATACCGATATTGTATACTAATGTACATAGTACAAGTAAAGTAATTTTAAAATATTGAAGTGAAATAATCATATACGGAAGTATAAATAGATTTTAAGATATAATTAAAACATTTATACAGTATTTGAATATATGAATATCTTATCCATATATGCATAAGTGGTATTTTATTTTCGATACGATTTAAAATATACATGTATCGATACGGGGTATCTTTAAGTCGTAGAATATTGATACAAAATATCGAGCTTGTGTGTGTGAATTCGAGAACTATGGCTGCGGAATCTGAATCCATTTGCCAAAAATATCGAGCTTCCAACTCCTGAATATCGATACTGTCAAATATCGTATCGAATCGAACATTTCTGCTATTCAGTGAATCGTATAGGAGGATGTATGTAATTTGTCGTTCTCCGTTCAGTGTCGGTTTTTGGGCCTTCTGGCCTTTCGTCCATGTGGTCACTGATTCGGCTGTATGAACTTGTTCCGGAGCTGTTAACAGTCATTTCGACAACATCGCTGTCTATTGACTTGTCCATTTTATCGACTTGAGAAAGTTTGTAGAACACGTTCTCCGAACTTTCTTTTGGTTGTTCAAGTGCTTGGAGTGTTCTGCAAAGTTTCTTTTACTTCGGTTTCTGATCGGCTCTAGAGGCACTTTGTTGTGTTGGTTCCCTAGGATTTCCCTGGGATTTAGTCTTTGTCTCCCAGGTTAGTTGTTAGTCCCTCTGTGCTCACATTTCATAAGGCTTCAGTTAGGATAATCCTTATTCTGGGTCTCGTAATATTCGGGTTACGTATATAGTTTTCCCGGCTTTGTTGAACTAGTTTATTATATGCTTTTACACGATTTAGTATTTAGATTGTTTACATTCTGTATCCGCGGTGACTACCGCGACCGATGCCGGTTTACCCGACCGGTTGGTTGCCTCCGAGGGCTCCCCATGCACGGGGTTACACTCCGGACACTGTTCTATAACTTAACCTGGCGATACGACTTTGTTCGGACATTAATAAAGGAGAAAGACACTTGTAATAGGGTTATGTTACTTCAAAACTCAAAGAGACATAGGTTCGAGTAACAGCAGCCTAGGTGAGTCCTAGGTTCACTAAATTATATTGTAATAGTTTCTATGCAAGTTATTCTAAATAATCAGTTTAGTAAAAAAGCCAAAAGTTTTTAAAGTAAAACCATTTATAATTTAAAATGTGTACGTCATCGGGAATAGACCAACCTAACTGGCAACGTTGTGTGGCTAGTTCCTATTGGTCTGTTCCCGGCTTCATCCTGAACTGTATTATTCCTAAAAAAAATTCAAAATTTTTGAACATGTCCCATTATTGACGAGATCTTCTATACTATCAATTTTTTAACATTCTTTTATTTTTCCTAATTAACATTTCATTCTGAATTCGTATTTAATTAGTTTTATTTCTTTATTTTACACTAAAAATTGTGAGAAAACTTTCTACGCCGACAAAAAGAAATATCGTTTTCAATAATTTATAGAAATCGATCTGACATGACGGATACGTTCCACCTTACAAACCGATTTTCAACAATTAAAAAATTCTCGCAAAAGAAACTCATTTAACCAGGAAGCGAGTGAAAATGTTAATCGTAGTTTTCGGTTCAGATGTCAAACTGCACTATAATGGTTACTAACCTAGTAACTTATATTCTGTATAAACTATAGTTACGTAATTACATAAATAACGTCGAATAGTAATACAAGCACGGCTTCGTGTATCGTTCATGTTAGTTAAAAGTTTATAATTGAAAATAATATTCGAGAGAAAATAGTGGCCAGACAGGTTCGATGTTCGTAATAAAATCTAGATCACCGTGAAATTGGCGAGTGGAGACAGATATTTTGCTGAACCTAAATATTATGCTAATTAATTGTTTATGGTAATTCAAATTCGGATTAAAATACAATTAGGAATGAATCAAACTATTTGTAAGTTGTAAAATAGTCCGATTTTTTTTTATGGAATGATGGTTTTGTGTTAAAAAACCAGTCAGCTGGCAATGAAGAAATGGGTTCCACTAAAAATTCTTGAATTTTTGGTACCTATGCTGCTTTCTTCGGGCTTGTTAACAAAGTACTTAAATTACAGATATTATTTTCCAAAAAAATAAAAAATATTAAATCAGTAAAACTCTCTTGTACTACATGCACGATTTATATTTTTTTTTCTTTACAGTTTTTATAATTTTTATATATGCAGGGTGTTTCATTGGTAAAGGCACTTCCTTTAACCATGGATGGAGACCACCGAGGTGCTTCCAAATCACCCATACTTAATGGGTCTTTCGACCTTTATAGCCGAGATAAAGGGTGTTTTATCAATTTGGCCTATTTTTTTCCGACTCATAACTTATTAACCACCCTGTATATGTTTTTAACATTTGGCGTACTTATTCACCGTAACTTACCAAATCTGAAAAGGCATAAACAAGAAACGAAATCCAGGTCCGTCTTTACAAAAAATTAATAAATTCGTCCATCCTTAAAACAACATCATGTATGTCTGAATTTGAAATTTTTGTTTTAATATTTGCAAAGAGCACAAAAAACTGAATTCAATAATGTACATTTTATTTTTGCGCAGACGATTTTACTACTGAAATTATAAGTCCAAATTGTCCAAGATCGCCTGACTTTAATCCGCTGGATTACCACGTTTGGGGACATCTAAAAACAAAAGTATATTCCACTCCCATAAATAGTAGGGAAGAACTAGTTGGGAGGATAGAAAACGCGTACGAAGAAATGAAAAATAATCCCGATGTACTCAGAAAAGCCGTCAACCATATTTTAAAACGAGCAAGAAAATGCATCGAACAAAATGGAGGTCATTTTGAACAACTCTTGTAGTTTTTAGTAGCAATAAGGTTTATTACTTCATTTCCAACATTTGTATTTCTTTGTATTATTAGTTGTTATTTTGATTTGTTTATTATGTATTAATTAGTTATTATTTATGTGTTTTTCCTTTAGTTGTAAATGTGATTATTTGTTCTACTGAATGTTGGTCTCTTTCCATATTATCCTACATACTATTTATTAAAACTTATATGGAATAATTTATACAGGGTGCGGTCGAAAAAAAAATCTGATTTTTGGCCCTAAAACCGGACCTGAAATTATTTTTGAAATGGTGTAGATGCATACAATTATAAGTATTGACATATCTGTAGCTTTTAGAAATATACTTCTTTAAATAATTTTAAATATACCGTAATAAAATTAATGAAACTCCGTCCGTTTCCAGTTTGTACCTCCAAAATGCTCAAAAATAACAATTTGGACTTATAATTTCAGTAGTAAAATCGTCTGCGCAAAAATAAAATGTACATTATTGGATTCAGTTTTTTGTGCTCTTTTCAAATATGAAAACAAAATTTCAAATTCAGACATACAGGATGTTGTTTTAAGGATGGACGAATTTATTAATTTTTTGTAAAGACGGACCTGGATTTCGTTTCTTGTTTATACCTTTTTAGATTTGGTAAGTTACGGTGAATAAGTACGCCAAATGTCAAAAACATATACAGGATGGTTAATAAGTTATGAGTCTGGAAAGAAATAGGCCAAATTGATAGAACACCCTGTATCTCGGCTATAAATGTCGAAAGATTCATTAAGTAGGTTATTTGGAAGCACCTCGGTGGTCTCCATCCATGGTTAAAGGGAGTCCCTTTACCAATGAAACACCCTGTATATAAGTCTTATTTTTGCAAAATGTGACATGCTACTAAACAAAATAAGTATGTTTCACTTAGTGAAATAAAGTTGGCAAAGTACTACGTGGTTCTTTTGGAAAGGGTGATGCTGATTTTGCTAGAAGTAATATCTCTAACCGTTAAATACTTGCTCAAATAGAGTTAGGACAAAGTTATCAAAAAAAAAAAGTATACATGTGAATACAAATTTAGAATGGTTCTGTGCCCATGTTGTAACAAACCTATTAACATATCTTGGAACTTATTTCAGGGATGATCAGCCGAAATAATACAAAAAGTGGTAGATTTTTGAGAATGGCTCAAATGGGGGCTCTTTAGGATTTTTCAAAAGAAGAGAAGATCTAGCATTGTATATATTTTGTCTCAGTCTTACAATGTCCTTTGTCGTTAATGTTTCGACTGCAGAATTTTTAATTTCGTTTCTCATGAGTTTCAAGTGTTTTTCACAAATGTCCTCCACAGCTTTACGCTTAACTGAATTACTCACGAGATGTTTGTTAAAAACTTCATCGGATAACTTTTCATGATTGTGATCCAAAACTAATTGCACTATTGTATCGTCAGATCCTTGGGTTTTGACAAATGCCTTACATGTTCGCTTACTGCATTGCCATCGTTTTACTGTTTTATTGGTCACCATTTTTTGAAAACTGAATGTATAGCCATGAATTACCAATAATGACATGCCTCTCTCACTTAAAAAAAATGTTGCTTCCATTATTAAAAACTGCACAAAAACATCAACACAAAGACAAAGACGAACTAAAATTAATAATATTTGGCGATAGTATACTGGTCTTTCTCTTGGCAATTTTAAAATCCCACCCCATAGATAATCCGTTTATACCTGAAACTAAAGCTAATTAAAAGTCCATTTGGTAATTTAAGTTAGTTTTATCCAAATAACCTCATCACAAAACAACAATTATTAATTAATAATAACAATAATTAATGTTAATTATTACTGGAATAACCAGTATATAAAAATATATCTTCCAATAATTCTGTTATATACATGTCCCATTTTCTAACATTTTTCTGGTAAGGGTTCAATAAAGTACCTTTTATGTATGTTTCTTTTACTTTGTAGTTAGGTACTTACTTTCAAAAATTACATTTGACAACACTGGTTAAATTTTGGTATAATTTTAGTACTAATAAAATTTGCACCGTTGTACTTAGGATGCAGAAGTAGGACATAGCCTTTAATTTATCCATTTATTAACATAAATAATGACCTTATGGTTTCCTTCCAACTATCTTTGGTTTCCATTAATCCTAAATTATCACAAAAACTATATTTTTAATTTCAGTTGTACGTTTTGTTCTATATACTCGTTAGACGACATGGATACATTCTTATATAATTTAATTATTGAAAAAATATCTTGTAGGCCGGTTCTGAACAGAAAAGAAGACCGTATAGCGGTAAATCACTTGCTAATCTAGCTATCCACCATAAAGTAGCGGTAGTCCCGCGATTAATTTATAAATATGTTTATTTTAATGCGTAACAATTACATATATATATATATATATATATATATATATATATATATATATATATATATATATATATATATATATATATATATATATATATCCAACGGTCAGTTCCGGGACATTTTTTATTCGTCTTATATATAGGTTAATATCGGTCATATATAAAATGCACTTTCAAATGTTATTCGAAATTTTCAAAAATATTCACGCATTCTCATTAAATTTCGATTTTTTGATTAACCATGCAGTTCCAGGACATTTCAATATAAATACACTACAGATCATATACATTCACATAAATCTAATTATTTGAATCATATATAATGTCGTCTTTCATGAATTGGATCAAAATTCGAGATATATGTTGTTTATTTCCATTTTTGAATGGTAGCTTGAAAATTGAGAAACATAGCAATGATTTATTAACAGCAACATTGCTTTATATATAGGTTAAATCGGCCATATATAGGATGTACTCTCGAATGGTAATCGAAATTTTTAAAAATATTTACGCATTTTCATTACATTTGGAATATTTGATTAACCATGCAGTTCCAGGACATTTCGATATAAATACACAGAATATCATATACATTCACATAAATCTGATTACTTGAATCATATATAACGTCGTCTTGCATTAATTGGATCAAATTTCGAGATATGTTGTTTTTTTTCCATTTCTGAATGATCACTTGAAGATTGACAAACATAGTAATGATTTGTTAACAGGAAGATTATCTTATATATTGGTTAAATTGGCCATATATAAGATGAACTTCTGAATGGTAATCAAAAATTTAAAAAATAATCGCGCATTCTCGATAGGTTTCGATTATTCGATTAACCATACAGTTCCAGGACATTTCGATATAAATAAACATTGGTTCATATACATTCACATAAATCTGATTATTTAAGTCATTCATATTGTCGTCTTTCATACATTGGATCAAAATTTGAGATATGTAGTTTATTTCCATTTCTGAATAATCACTTGAAGATTGACAAACATAGTAATGATTAGTTAACAGCAACATTATCTTATATATTGGTTGAATCGGCTATATATAAGATGCACTTCCGAACAGTAATCGAAAATTTCAAAAGTAGGCACGCATTCTCGATAGGTTTCGATTATTTGATTAACCATGCAGTTCCAGGACATTTCGATATAAATACAGAGAAGATAAATATACATAAATCTCATTAGTTGAATCATATATAACGTCGTCTTGCATTAATTGGATGAAATTTTGAGATATGTTGTTTTTTTCGATTTCTGAATGATCACTTGAAGATTGACAAATATAGTAATGATTTGTAAACAGCAAGATTATCTTATATATAGGTTAAATTGGCCATATATAAGATGAACTTCTGAATGGTAATCAAAAATTTAAAAAATAATCGCGCATTCTCGATAGGTTTCGATTATTCGAATAACCATACAGTTCCAGGACATTTCTATATAAATACACAGTGGTTCATACACATTCACATAAATCTAATTATTTAAGTCATTCATATTGTCGTCTTTCATACATTGGATCCAAATTTAAGATATGTAGTTTATTTCCATTTCTGAATATTCACTTGAAGATTGACAAACATAGTAATGATTAATTAACAGCAATATTGTCTTATATATAGGTTAAATCGGCTATATATAAGATGCACTTCCGAATGGTAATCGAAAATTTCAAAAATAGGCACGCATTCTCGATAGGATTCATTTATTTGATTAACCATGCAGTTCCAGGACATTTTGATATAAATGTACAGAATATCATATTATACATTCACATAAATCTCATTATTTGAATCATACATAATGTCGTCTTTCATGAATTGGATAAAAATTTGAGATATGTTATTTCCATTTTTGAATGATCACATGAAGATTGACAAACATAGTAATTATTAATTAACAGCAACATTGTTTTATAATATATAGGTTGAATCGGCTATTTATAAGATGTACTTCCGAAAGGTAATCGAAAATTTCAAAAATAGGCACGCATTCTCGATGGGTTTCGATTATTTGATTAACCAAGCAGTTCCACGACATTATGATATAAATACATAGAAATTCATATACATTCACATAAATTTGATTATTTGTCATACATTATGTCGTCTTTCATAAATTGGATCAAAATTTAAGATATGTAGTTTATTTTCATTTCTGAATAATCACTTAAAGATTGACAAACATAGTAATGATTAATTAACAGCAACATTGTCTTATATATAGGTTGAATCGGCTATATATAAGATGCACTTCCGAATGGTAATCAAAAATTTTAAAAATAGGCACGCTTTCTCGATAGGTTTCGATTATTTGATTAACCATGCAGTTCCAGGACATTTCGATATAAATGCACAAAAGATCATATTATACATTCACATAAATCTGATTATTTGAATCATACACAAAGTCGTGTTTCATGAATTGGATAAAATTTTGAGATATGTTATTTCCATTTTTGAATAATCACATGAAGATTGACAAACATAGTAATGATTAATTAACAGCAACATTGCTTTATATATAGGTTGAATCGGCCATATATAGGATGTACTCTCGAATGTTAATCGAAATTTTCAAAAATATTTACTCATTTTCATTATATTCGGAATATTTGATTAACCATGCAGTTCCGGACATTTCGATATAAATACACAGAAGATCATATACATTCACATAAATCTCATTACTTGAATCATATATAACGCCGTCTTGCATTAATTGGATCAAATTTCGAGATATGTTGTTTTTTTCCATTTCTGAATGATCACTTGAAGATTGACAAACATAGTAATGATTTGTTAACAGCAGGATTATCTTATATATAGGTTAAATTGGCCATATATAAGATGAAATTCTGAATGGTAATCAAAAATTTAAAAAAATATCGCGCATTCTCGATAGGTTTCGATTATTCGATTAACCATACAGTTCCAGGACTTTGATATAAATAAACATTGGTTCATATACATTCACATAAATCTGATTATTTAAGTCATTCATATTGTCGTCTTTCATACATTGGATCAAAATTTAAGATATGTAGTTTATTTCCATTTTTGAATAATCACTTGAAGATTGACAAACATAGTAATGATTAGTTAACAGCAACATTGTCTTATATATTGGTTGAATCGGCTATATATAAGATGCACTTTCGAACAGTAATCGAAAATTTCAAAAGTAGGCACGTATTCTCGATAGGTTTCGATTATTTGATTAACCATGCAGTTCCAGGACATTTCGATATAAATACAGAGAAGATCACGTACATTCACATAAATCTCATTAGTTGAATCATATATAACGTCGTCTTGCATTAATTGGATAACATTTTGAGATATGTTGTTTTTTTCGATTTCTGAATGATCACTTGAAGATTTACAAATATAGTTATGATTTGTAAACAGCAAGATTATCTTATATATAGGTTAAATTGGCCATATATAAGATGAACTTCTGAATGGTAATCAAAAATTTAAAAAATAATCGCGCATTCTCTATAGGTTTCGATTATTCGAATAACCATACAGTTCCAGGACATTTCTATATAAATACACAGTGGTTCATACACATTCACATAAATCTAATTATTTAAGTCATTCATATTGTCGTCTTTCATACATTGGATCCAAATTTAAGATATGTAGTTTTTTTCCATTTCTGAATATTCACTTGAAGATTGACAAACATAGTAATGATTAATTAACAGCAATATTGTCTTATATATAGGTTAAATCGGCTATATATAAGATGCACTTCCGAATGGTAATCGAAAATTTCAAAAATAGGCACGCATTCTCGATAGGATTCATTTATTTGATTAACCATGCAGTTCCAGGACATTTTGATATAAATGTACAGAAGATCATATTATACATTCACATAAATCTCATTATTTGAATCATACATAATGTCGTCTTTCATGAATTGGATAAAAATTTGAGATATGTTATTTCCATTTTTGAATGATCACATGAAGATTGACAAACATAGTAATTATTAATTAACAGCAACATTGTTTTATAATATATAGGTTGAATCGGCTATTTATAAGATGTACTTCCGAAAGGTAATCGAAAATTTCAAAAATAGGCACGCATTCTCGATGGGTTTCGATTATTTGATTAACCATGCAGTTCCACGACATTATGATATAAATACATAGAAGTTCATATACATTC